GATTGAAAAGATTTAGAAAATATCAACCGTTAAATGTTGAAATTGTAGATCTATAGTAAGATTTCTTCTATCTTGCCTATAATTTCATATATTAAATCAGTGAGGGGAAGCAGTTTAAGATCATTGACAAATAAAAATCTCGAAGTACAAATATGAAATAAAAATCAAAGACCCTATAGTCTCCATAACTCCACATGTAGCCCTTCTAGGCTTATTGCCAGTCCCAAGCCCGGATAAAGCACGAGGTTATCAATCCCAGCCCATAGACATTTTTATGATTTGAAAATTATCCAACAAATTCAAACTTTTTCCATTTTAGCACGAAATCACAAAAAAAAACGTGATTTTTCTTAAGAGCAATATATACTTTTGATTGTGTCAGTTACTGTGTATTTTAAACAAACATTTAATTTAACATGCTTCACATGAAACAAGGTTAGTAAATAAATATTAAAAAAGCAAAACAAATTCAATTATATTCATTAGAAAAATCTTAATTAAATCATTCTAAGTGTAATTCTATTTACTAAGTTGTAAAAAGTTTGATGTTTTTCGACAAAAATAAGTCTACCCAATAAATACTTAACCACTCATTCACTCACTTATCATTAGCATATTCATCATTATTCATCTCCACCAGATTGAATGAATTTATAATTCAAAGTTTTAAAAAAGGACAAGAAATAGATTCAAAAAGACGATTCATGAATATTTTATATTCATAGACTACAAATGTATGAATTAAAATTAATCTATGTTATAAACCTATCTTGGTAGGTATACCAACATCAGAATGGAACATAGTAATGATTGTTACCAGATTATTTGAGATTACTTGAAAAAATTAAAATACACAAGGATTACAGTAGATCAGAAACTAATACGCATTATATGTTATCATTTATAGTCTAATTTCAACATGCAACTTCAATATGATTAGATTTCACCATACAGTTGTATTGTACTGAAATAAATTAAATGCTCAATATTTTACTTTCCTATCAAGATGATATTGATAATGATGAATAAAACTCCACAGAAATCAATCAATTTGATAAATAGAAATTCCATGAATAAGTTGGATCTGCAGAGATTTTAAGGAAGCTAAATGGAAAAATGAAACAGAATTTGAGGTGAGACTACAATATATAGACGAACCAATCACATTTAGGGTTACCAAGTCTTGGATTTTGGAGTGAAATTTATTCATGCATTTGTTTAGACAGTGTTTTGACATTTTAGCTGATATCAGTACGTGATGAAAACCCTAACTATCAACTGTAAATCACCATCTTTATTTTTCACACTGTTTTATAACCCACATTTAGCCCTAGCAAGTAGATGGATATTCTTAAGGTCACTTTAGCTCCGCTCAAAAGGTCATCCATAAATTACAGAAATTGATTAGATGGGCTTTAAACATATTTATCAATATTGTTACTCAAGAGATAAACATGAAACAAACCAAAAACAAATTACAAAAATTTATAGAATTTTCGTTTTTTTTAATATCTTGCTTCTTTAAAAAAAAATAAACTGTATTGAGGTAATGCTCAGAATTTGCATTACTCTACTGATTACATATAAATACTAACAATATATATAATTAATAGTTCTATGTATTTGTCTAGATAAGAACGTACACTTCTATGAATAAACTTTTGGATAAAATTTGTCATTCTAAAAGACATTGAAAAATAAAAATATCTTATGTATATTAGTATAGAATAAAATAGCATATATAACATTCTTTTATAGTTTATAAACTACACAGATTGAAATCATGAGTCAATTGAAGCTAGACCACCATGGGAAACCTGGAAGCACTAGACGGCCGTTTCGTCCTAGTATGGGACTCCTCAGTAGTGAACATTCACGACACCGCACCCCGCGAGGTTCGAACCCAGGACCTATCAGCCTCACGCCAGGCGCTTAACCAACTACACCATTGAGCCGGCATCCAATGGTGTTAATGTCTAACTTCAACCAATTCACGAAGTTGCGCCACCGTAAACCATTGTCTTCAGTGAGCTGATATCTCACAACAGACATGGTTGAACTCCACTGGTAACGGCTTCTCACTATAAATCCAGGAGTATCGCTTGAAGTGAGTCACTAATGAGCAGATGATTATTATCAGAAGGGGTTTGTGGAGATTTTAGAAATTTCACTGATTGAAATCATGAGTCAATTGAAGCTGTCCAGTGGTTTCAGGTTTTCCATGGTGGTCTAGTTTCAACTGACTCATGATTTCAATCTGTGAAATTTCTAAAATCTCCACAAACCCCATCTATTCATAAACTAGTTTAACTCAAAATCTGATTCCTATTAGTTTGTACATTTTAATGTTACACAGATTCATCCTTTTGCAACATATGCATTATAACACAACATTACATCAAGTTATCTAGTGCTTAAATATTTAGACGAAAGAAACTTGGAAATAAAATGAAACAGCTGTTAACTAGTAGTCTGTGTTTTCATTTACTATTTTATTGCAAAAAAGGGTTATATAGGTTGAAGTAAGTTTTTATTTCTACAAGAATAACTTAAGAATAATTCAAGTAAATAGTGTTAAACATTAGTACATCCCAAAACTTTTGTATTTACGCAATACTACTTAAAGACAAATCAAAGTTACTAAACAGACAAACTTATACAGTTTTATAACTTTTCATATATTTTGAAAACATGTTTTGTTTAGATATTTTGTGTATAAGAAAAAAACCACTTGTATGAATTAACACTAATCTCCAATAAGTAAATAATGATAGACAAGTTTAGGCTATCCAAATAATTTTAACAATATTGAATAGTTACAACTACATAAATTCCTTGAAAAGTACATATCAACATAGAATATAAAATTAAAATTGCTAACAGTCAATAGAACCACAAGATTAGACAATAGTACGGAGAGTTATTATTGTTCAATACCACTAAAGACATAGACAAACAATCTAAAATAAAATAGTTCAATTAGATCAATCGAAATATGATTCTGAATGTTTAGTTGTTCCAAGAAAATCTTTATTTTTCAAGTAAACTTATTTATTTCATAGGCTTTGAGATTAATCTTTAAATCCGGTTATGAAAGAAGGAAAACACAAGAAATGTCATACATAGAATCATTTTAAAGTGAAAGCTTATATATATATATATATATATATATATATATATCTTCACAGTATACACATATACCAATAAGAAACTGATCGATTACAAGTCTAAACATCAATGGGACGATTCAAACAAACATACAACACGAAGTTCTACAATTATGTATCCAAATTAATCATCAAAAAAGCGGTCATGTTTAGGGCAAACTGTATCGTTTAGAGTCAGAACATGTGAATTTAGTATAGTGAAATAAAATAAAATTGTTAATGTTGATATGACTTATATGGTATGTTAAGTTGAATCAGTTAAATGAAATTATGAGAGTCTCGGTCAGAATAAATATGGGTCAGATAGGGTGAGAGAAATAACAGTGTAATTGTAAATTGGATCAAATTTTTGTGTAGAAATTTATATGAAATTAGTAAGAAATAATAAAATGGGGTAAGTGCTAAGTAGATAAATCATGTATTCGGGAGATTATTGGTGATATTAAACCAATAATAATAATAATAATAATAATAATAATAATAATAATAATAATAATAATAATAATAATAATAATAATAATCTTCGTCTTCTTATTATACTACCGACATTTATCAAAAGGGACTAATTGCTTAAAGTAATACAAAGTAAATAAACGTAATAAAGCTATTTATATTTGACTAATATAGGTTGTAAGTACATTTGTTATATTAGGTCATTCAGTAGTTAATAGTATTGTTGATTAATTGGCTTTGAGGTTGACCAAGGTAAGAAAAGCGCTTGAAAATATTCCTTTCGTACACACAACTCCGGTTTTTCAATCCGAATGGTTATTACCTATGCCGTCTAAAAGACTTTGGGAAAAAATTACTGACCCGATAAATAATTGAGAAAAATTGGCTGTGGATAGTTTGCACTAAATGAGTCAATACCGAGACGTCCACTTTCCTCACTAGACCTTTACTTAGCCAAAAGACAAAAATGTTCTATTTACAAAGTACGAAAAGGATATAACTCAACATTTTCTAAAGTAGTAATGTAAAAAATTGCCTATAACAAGTTAAAGAACCTGAGACAGTAAAAAGTCATAACAGTTATTAACAACTTTTAAAAAGTATAAAATAAAAAAGATTATTAGATGACAGTAGTTTTAACTAAAGGATTTCATGAATAATATGTTGGGAAAAAACAACGGTGCACTGAAGTTTCAGTAAAGCGATTAGCAAATCTCTCCATTTTGTTGTGTTCATCAATTAATTTAGTAGCTGGAAAATATTTAGTCACGAGGGGAAGTTTACGAAGACAACTTGACTTAGAGTTGGTTTTTTATTGTGTAGTGGGATGTCAGCTTGAGTTACAATATACTGAAAACTGTGCCGAACTGATAAAGCTACTTTATCCTAGTTTACAACTTCCCCATCAGTAGCCAGGACGCATGACCCCATTACGAATCAGTCAAATGCGTGATGTAAACTAACAGTGAATTCAAAAACATTTTTATAAATATTTACAGTAATCAGAAAGGCAGTAAAGTGGTAACACATCTAAACAGATTACTTCCGATTTTCACAACCTAATGTAATACAGTTATCGTAGTTAATTTGATTAAACATCAATCAACTGATAAAGATATATCGTCACTGTAAAACATAACTCAACTAGGATTATTTTATTACACAATATCAAAAACCCAATTAAGTATATTGTTGGATAAAATAAGTGATTATAATTAATATATGTGTGATCAGATTGTTTGAAATGTATTGCGCAAATATATCACATAATTCTGATAAACTATGTCTTCTTATTGCATTATCGAAATTTATCAAAGGGACTAATTGTTTTAAATAATTAAAAAGATGAAGCTAAATACAACAAAATCAATTAATACTTACTTTAGCTTGTACATGTTCCAAATGTACAACACGATGTGATAGATCACCTGCAAGAGCTGCGGCTGATTCACAACCATCAGTAGTTAAAGCTAAATTTTCTTTAGACATTTGTCTAATAGTAATTGGATCACCGGTCATTGGAGCTTGAGCTTCGCATACACGTTGTGGTGGCACATTAGTCCAATTCAAAGCTAAATCAACCATAGCGGCGGCATCCATTAAACCATAACTAATAATGATTGATAATTGAAAATTTAAAAAAAGTATAATTAATACAGCGTATGACTACAAAAGGGAGATTGAAAAGAATATCAGTAGTATATGGAAAAACTGAACTAGGAAAGTTGTACCGTTAAGATGCAATGAAAAATTTTCAGATGCATTAACCAACTGGTTTCTGACAAAAAAATCCCGGTAGAAGTAAAGCAAATTTTACGTCACTTATATACATAAATATTAGTACAAAGGGTTATCGAAATGCATATGCGCCACACAATAAGAAAATGCGATTCCTAAGGGGTGGAGAACGGGAAGTGAACATAATAAAAAATAATAAACGATTAAAAATAACTAGATAAGAGTAGAAGAAATGATGGTGATAGCAGTTCAGTTAAGAAGAATACAACCAGAAAGAATTCCTCCAGTTAAAGAGGTTACGTTCACTTTGATGGAGAAAGTAAAAGAAAGTTACAGTACGATAGCCATTGGCTTCTATTCTGAGCCATGTTTGATAACGCCTCAAGCCACTGTGTTGCAATATCTCCAGGACCCCAACCAAGGAGTCATGAAGGTCCAACAAAAGCCAGTCCCGTATGGAGTTCTTTTATGCCACAACATTATGTCATACGCTGACCGCCTCTCCACTTTTTCTAACCAGTCCCAGAAACGGAAAATAAGCCACGATGGAGAATTCAATTAATAATCAATAGAAGCTTCTCAGAGTTCTAAAAGGACAATAGATTATTTGTTCGACGCTTCTAGAATATCTAGACAATACATATATCTATAGTTATGCTCTTTTTCTGCACCTGAAATAACCATGGAAGTAAGGTTGTATTTTAGAATTACAGCCTTTTGCCTTCGACGTGAGGTTCAAGTACAGATATTTTTGGGACTAGAACGATAATGAAGTCAATGTTGAGTGTTGCAATACAATATATTACTAAGTAATTACAAAATTTTTTCCTTATGAAAATCATAATTTCAGTTGTATTTAAATAATTCGCGCGTAACTTGTGAACAAATGCCCCCAAATGACCAAGTGCGGTCCCTCTCGAAATGTACTCACTTGGCTACATGTATACATCTACTGTCAAGGAAGTCCTACTCACTGACTTCTTGCGGCACCGCTGTTGTTTACGAAATTGAGAGGACGAAAAACAAATTTCCAGAACTTTAACTCGATTTGTGGATATAGAGGAACTAACTAGGAGAGTTATAAACCCCTGATTACAAACAAATGGTGCACACAGGCTCAAAGATCCTGAAGGAACAAATGGCGTATGAACCAATTATCGGTCACCGGCTACCATGGGACTGCATCTCCTAACGTTGCAGACTAGACCTCTAGGTCAAAGGCCCGAGGAGTGGCCTCACAAGAAAACCACCTACTTCGGTTTGGGAGCCCGGACAGTATTTCAGCTTTCATATAAACCGAATAATGAAGTGTGGCGCAGATATATTTGGTTCCTCGTTGTATTAACAATGTTTATGTGTTTAAATAAATAAACTAATATGAACAAACTCAAGGCTGACTTTGATATTTAGAACTATTTTAATCACGGATTATATTTATGATAGATTTTGAGATGATGGAGAAGACAGATACGTATTGGATAGAGAAAGAGGTCATAATTCTCCCTAGCTTTCACTTTGTGTACTATAATAAACGTTCAAGCATACCATTCAATATTGAATATTTTAAGAGTGGTTCCCATTGCTAGATGATATCGCCTGGTGAACTATTGAGAACTAGGAAATACTAGATATTCTTTTAGTTTGTTACTCCTTTTGCAATGAATGGGTATGTGTTCGACCTCAGGTTTTTCAATTCTTATAACACTATCACTCATGATGATAGCTATCAGTGAAATAAATGAAATCCCTCTACAAAATGAAATTATTCAATTTATTACTTCTAACCACTATGAATATTGAATAGCAGTACTGGTTTATGACTGTTGTATCTTTCTAATAAATACAAAAACAATGATTTAAAAATTTTCCAATTATTCTAATTTCATTTATTCATGAAAAAAAACACGTCGCCATTATGACATAATAACAATGCTACTTCATATTCTTCTTATACAACTCAACTAAGAAACAATCTATTCAATACTTTCCTGTTATCGTTGTTAGTATATTGTTTATTATTAGATAATTGATGAACAGTTTCTTCAATTCCAGTTTTTCTTCTTACATAAAGATACTTAGCAAGTAATAAAAATTATACAATTGGAAGAGAATAAAAATAAAGCTGTCGCCTAAAAATCAAACACATAAGTAGAAAAAATAGGGATTCAACTAATTAAACATTTTATACCATGAAAAACAACTTTTTTAAAAAAAACCCTTTATTTTCTTCTAAATAAACAGACGCCAATAGACGATGACATTGTAAAGTCTAAGAGTTAACCGGAAGAAATCCTTCGCTCATTTTCATTATGAAAGATGATTTAGTGAAAACTATTAACACATACAATAGGACATAGAAAATGATTGAGTGAATACATAATTAGATTATAGAATGTTTGATATAATTTTTGTTAAAATGATAAAGGTATTCATGAGTTTATCATAAAATCATTTGAAAAAAACGAACAAGTTAGTTGCTTTTTGTAAAAAAATAACTGACAAAACATCTTCATAAATACTGCTAATTATCAACTATTTAACACCGGAAAAGTATGTTTGACAATCTTTGAGATCATACAAGATAATATTGTATCGTTTATTGTTTTTATTTCATAGAAACGTAAATAGTCTTGTTATTTATACATAAAATTAAACACAAAAGAATAGATTTTATCAGTTAAATGATAGAGAAGATAAAAAGAACTGAGAAATGATATCTTAATATTTATCTTCCCTCTTCAGGTTCTCCCTTTTGTCTTTTTCTTTCCACAATCAAAATCTTATTACCAGCATCTGTCTAACATAAAATCATTGATTATAATGATAATGATAATAACTAAGGAATCATTTATTAAAAATATAAAGATATGATGTGATAGTTTCGATACATTTATTTATTAGTTAGAAATTTTGGTGCATACTAGATTTCATATACTAGTACTCAATAAGTTGGTCGATATTCCCAGTTCTCATGAGAAAATGTCTAACTTCAAGCTAAAAAAAAACCGGGTACACTTTGGACATAACACAGGAGCATATAACCTATAGGAAAAATTATGTAAACAAGTATCTTCCGACAATAAACAATACATAGAACGAGTTACAAAATGTTGAAATTAGAAAGATATGAAAATACGGTGGATGGAAGAAGACAGAAACAAATGAGGTAATAAATAAGTTTATGTTAATACTAAACGAAGTTTAAAAAAAGCCATAAATTTTTATATTAAGTAATAATTGAAAGAGAAGAAAATTAACGTGTAGGAGAAGAAAAGCATCTGATTTAAGCGAACATCTCTTACCAGAATTGTTCATGAATAATTAGCAAGAAAAATTAATTTTTATTTTCAACCGATTTAATGCCTGATGTCAATCTGAGGGGATGAAAACGAAAGTGAATGAGGAAAATAAGTTAACGGAAAGTTAGAACAAAAAGCAGACAGTATAGTGACAAGATAAAATTCACTGTGGACAAATTGTTAGCACTTTTAAGAAAAAAACAATGAAAAAACAACAAAGATGAGAAATTATTTAAGAAATAATTGAATGTGTTCACTGTACATTTTTGACTAATTGGAAAAGGATAGTGATGACTGAAATGAAATTTTTATCCAGGGTTACAAATTTAAGGTCAAGTATGATACAATAATTCAAAGAAAGAACATTTTGGTAATACTTTCCTCAAAGTATTTCCAAGGAGCGCACCATGAGATCAAGTCTGTCGATTAAATACAATGTTCGACGCAGTCCTATTCAACTGACGAATTAGTTCATTTGCATTTCATCATTAGTCACTGCTTAACAAATACCTGCCGAGTAATAAAAAGATTATCTTAGCTGTTTGTAGCTTGAATGCAGTCTTCTATTTACCTTTTTGTAACTCTCGTTCACTTTATGGGGACAATTATTAGTTGATGATAGTTGTGAAGGTAAAGTAAAATAAAATGAAATAACACACGTGTAACCTAAACATGTCACTATGCAAATGATACAGTACCACAGCAAGTTTAAAATTACACCTAAATACTTTGTTCAAGAGAAAATGGGTGAAAGTAATGTTTCTGAGGAATCTTCCTTGTACACTGACGTCAACTGGAGAACTGTTGAAGAACAGTAAGCACTGAAAAACAATTTCCTATTATCTAAAAAGTGACTAACTAGTATTGAGTTCCATATGCAGTCTGCATATTATCAGTTCTATCTTAAATATACAGGTGAGGACTTTCGAAAGTAGACAGCAATACCTCTCTATAAATTCCCTGCTTTTTAACAACTTTCGGTTTAATAAAGGGTTATTGATGATTACATTTAGGTTAACATTCCTCTGCATTACTATTGACCTATGGTGAAAATGTTTCACAGCTTTTTGTACCAAAACTTCACTAATGTTATCCTAACTCACTTCTTTCGTTAAATAATACAGTCTGCATCAGAAACAAATTATCAAGTTATATGATGTGCCTAGGTTGCAAGATATGACTTTAGGGTGAACAAGACATAATGTATGGTAGGTGTTTTGACCTAGCCGAAGATCATTGTCCACATATACACCATTTGAACAATGCCGGATAATTGTAAATATACATTAATTAAAATATCATTCGACACACAGAGATTCCTAAGTAGGTTTTTCTTTTTAAACTAGAACTGTTCAGCTGTTCAGCTTAATAGTTTATGTGGATATCTAAAAATTAGCTAAGTGTGCCAGTTGAATAGTTAGTGAAGAAACAAGCAAGATATCATAGGAGAATTACCATTTATAACATGTGTAATGACAAGACAATTGTGACACAACCTAAAAAAATTAATGGGGAAGATCAACAGTATTCATTCTATTGATATATTACACAATAGATTTTCGCAAAACATAAGGTGTCTGCAAAGTTATAAACTGAAAATTAGCGTTAACTTAATTCAGTACATATTTAGGTCGTAGTTAAGGTCGTAGCAAAGGAGTTCAAGAAGTAAATTTTGACCGATTCGGGATTTAGTACCTGTACTTATCCTATATCCAAGTGTTGATATTCATTCCGAGAATCCAGCCTAGTATCTATCACTTCAGAAGCAAGTTCGTTTTTCATTAAGCCAGTGATCCCCGAAGGTCGAGTTCATGGCAGATATTTCATATACAGACAATCAACTAAAGATACACATATGTCAACAAAAACTGGTCAAAATTTAGTCATAACTATAAGTAACGGGGTAATATGAACCCCTTGCGAATGACTTATTGGAGTCAACATACATTTAATTATATATTTTATCATGTAGTTTCATACTTCATAAAACTCCATTATTCTATTCTCCCATTTATATTTAAATATAAGAAATGTTAATTCTAACTACTGAAGTGAATAGGTTATCCAGTTCTATGAAGGTCTACTATTATTTGTTTGTCCAGTTGTGTTGATTATTATGAATGTCCCAAAATTCTAGTTAGAAGAATCAGTAGAGTTAACCAATTCAACGAATAACTCGCTGACAAAATTGGATATCGTATGCAATATAACGTAGATATACTAAAGTCAAAAATATAAGGTATTCAATTTCAACTAAATAGTCTATCGATATTATATTCCTTTATTGCGATGTGAGTGAACACTGTCAGTAATGAATTGGCGGTTCCATATATATTACCTTATTTAGTATACATGTATAAGTAAAGATTTAAGGAGAGACATATTGGTAATATCGAATACATTTGCAACATTACTATTGATATTTATTCGTTTATCCAGAAATAGAAATTATAATTCATATATTTATATAATGTGATAAGTTACATAATACATAAACATGATTATTTCCTTTTTTTACATGAAAGAAATGGAACCAAACAAATCAGAGATAAATCAGTACAAGAAAAAATGTATGTAATAATTTTAATAATGAAGAGATAAACAATAGAGAACAAAAAAGAACAGAAATAATAAAAAATGACAACCGAGAGAAAGAAAACGAAGAATTATATGACTAAATATTTAAACAATACTGTGAATAACATAGAAATTTGAAGATGTATGCAAACAAACACGAGTAAACATACACAACTATAATAAAAACTATTTTCATAACAGAATATAACAAATAAATGACAAAGTCAATTTGCCTAGAGTATGTTAAAATAGAAACTAACTGAGGTGATTAAAATCTTATGAAAATGTTGTTAACTGATATTATCTAAACCAATTTAAATGAAGGCAAATTTACTTTCTGCTATGTGAAACTTGATTTTCCATGGTATTCAACTAGCGTTTGTTATGAATTATGGCAAAACCTCCTTACAAGCATGAGGCGTTGATGTCTACAGTCATATCATACACCATAAGCTCTCTAGAAGAGGTTTACAATAAAGTGAAAATTAGTGTCATAAATTTAAGTCCGTGCATTATTTCCGCTGTCCTATTTCTCCAACAACAAACCCTGTTTTGGTACAATTGTCTTCTCTTGTTATATCATATCATTTATTGGTTCACTCTTACAAAGTACGAAAGAATTGCAACACAGTGAATTGGTTTATCTCGAGCTATTCTGTTTGAGCTTTGGCTGACGTTACAACCATATATATATATATATATATATATATATATATATATATATATATATATATATATTGAAAAGATGTTTTATCGGAAAATGTATACACTTCAGTGGAAAATAACATTGCATAGAAATTAGGAGAAACAACACCATGAACTTCACAATCTCAACCAATAGAGGATTTTAAGTGAAAGCCATAGATATGTAAATAATAAAAAGACCCCCCTAATAACAAGGAAAACCAAATTCCTTTTTCTCCTAGCCTGGTAAAACATTTTGATTTTTGTATATGGTAAGAAAATGTATTTGATTTGTAGTGATGAAATAAACTTTTCAAGGTTTTGCAGTCTCATATTATTCACCTAGATCATATAATCACTCAGGCTTATTGTTTCTTGAATTTGTTTAAAGTCGAACAACAAGTGGTTAGTGTCATTTTAATCTTATTAATTATTTAGCATTTGACTAATTAATAACCTTTACCTATATCCACTCTTATATATAGGTGTGACTGCTTCTGTGTCTTTATGACCATATTATTTCTTGAGTTACATAAATTACCACAACAAATTATACAACAGTTGATCACTACATCAATCAACAGAATCCAATTCACAGTCCCTCAACCTGTGTAATCTAAACATGTGGTCTATTGGGTTCATTTGTCTGGAATGTATCTTTTCTCAATCGAATTTTAAGATCGCAATGTCAATTTAATCTGATTACACAATGGGTTGGGTCTAGAAAATATATTAAAATAAGATCTAGAATAATTGGAGTTGGATAAGCTTACAAACTGATGAGCCCAACAGAAAAAATCAACACAACCTACCTCATCATTAAAACTGAAACTATGATAGAACGTATGATAAAAAATGAATAAATGATAATCTTCACTCTAAATCAAAATAGCATTCCATGAACTGAATTTGAAAAATTATTTTTTAGCTTTATCTTAGTAACAATTATTTTTTATTTGTAATCTGCAGTTTTGTGTTTATCTATTTTTCTGTAGTTTTCATTGTTAGCTGTACCACCTTACATGAGAAAAAAACTCTAGGAGAATCCATATAGAAAATGTCTTGTTAATGAATGTAGACATACGCACACAGAATGCAAAAAGATACAGTGCATATTTGTCATATTTGATATTGTGGCAAGGAATTATTATATAATAAAATTTTATATTTAATGGTTGTTGTGACATGGAAGAATATCATCCTGTTAGCTATTCAATAATAAATACAGGAAACTGTAATATACAATCCCCAAGATTAATAAACAAATCGTGCATTTAGATCTGCAGACGTTTAAGTAAAAGAATAATATTGAATTATTATCGAAAATAATATCAGTTGAAGTCTAGTTTATATTGCTGGTTAAAATCCCGAATATTACTGAAAAATATTCATGGGAATTATTACTTATAACGTGCCGGGTTAAACAAAAAAATCAGTGTTCAAAAATCAAATAAGGTTTTACAGTTGAAGGATTACTATTTAGGAATTATGAATAAACTCTAGAAATATTTTAGGCATTCCTAGTGTTAGGTAAGGGGTCAAGTGTGTGACTCATTAGAAAATATTATTTAACTGCGACATTTTGACCTTACGACATATAGTTAATTGGTCAAAACAGTAGTAAGAATTTGACCAATTCTGACCAGCTAACAGTGTAAAAGCAGTCAATAAAGGTGAAATATTCTGTCAGTACAAGTTACCTGTTTTTAGACGGCAAGAAATTTACATTTTCCAGTCTTCGATGTTCAAGAAAATAACTTGTATCGCTTTTAGTCAGAGGAAACTTAGTTATCTATTGGTAGTTGTGAGTAATCTAAGTTTCTATTAATAATTTGTTTTCAATTTAACTTACCAAATTGAGAAGTCAAGTCACCTAATGATGTATATTGGTTTACTAATAGATAATTATATACGTACGTCCTATTGTAAGTGAACAACCTACTTTATTTATGCTTTTCCGAGTTACCTAAGTCTATTTTCGTTATATACCTACAGTATACTCCTAATGTTATCATAATTTCCTTCCCTACATAAATTTCTAAGCGCAATTAAGGACAATACACTGTTTTGCCAGTTTTTAATATTTTCTGCCTAATTAGAATACGACCGTATTGAAAGGTATTACCATTGAGCTAATCAATTTGAAATAGATTCTTTTTAGAAATAGATAGATTCAAATTACTAGCCAATATAATGTTGCTAAAAGAAAACAATCACTACTGATGATAAAGTAGTAATAATAGAAAGTCTATAAAACAAAGAGAATTTCGAATCGAGTTAATCATCGAGAAAATAGAAATTGAAAGAAAATATTTACCCGAATGCATGTGATACACGTCGACCAACACCATTCACATGCCAATCATCTGCATATAAACCATCTGGACGTGCTGTATAAACAACTAAATATTGTAAATCTCTCCAAGTTAAATTAGGATTGGCTGACAAGGTGAGAGCGCATATACCAGCAGCTAATGGTGCACTGGCCGATGTACCAGAATGATTATCAGTACAAGTGTGATTTAAATCTGTTGTAATCTATTATTCAGAAATGAGAAGAAACAAAACAAAATAAACAAATAAATGAAGAAACAGATTTATGTAATTAATTTAATTCGAATGACTACAGAATGAAAATACGTTGAAAAAATCCCTTAAGGAATTAAAGCGTAATCTTCATGATAATAGTTAGCTGTAATCTAAGTTAAGATCAATTTAGTAAACACTTGTGAAAAGTGAAGAGAACAACCGGGTATTTCAAGTTTAAAAAGCAAACCAAAATGACAATGGTAGCTAAAAATTCTTTTTCTGTAAACGCTTTCTTTCATTTGCATAAACATCAGTAACAAAGAATGGATCCCTCATTCTGTGTATATTAAATACTCAAATTATTTACGACAAATTGCCTTATAATAAATATGATAATAATGAAGACAGATATGGAGTATTGTTCATCCATTTGATTGTAAGTAAGTTTTCGTGAAAGCAAGTTATAAGTAGTTTTCGTCAAAAATTATTAAAAATCCGAAACCACTGGTTGGCTGATTTACTGCAAAAATTCCAATAAATTGATTAATGAATGACAAACTCGTCATAAGATCATACAAATGAAGGATCGTGTGTAAGAACTATTGAGAAGTTACAAAACTAGAGAGGAAAAGTAAACCAATAATTCACAGTTTTATTTAGTTATCCAACATATATCAGTTCATTGAAAGGGCACCTTACAAAGTAAATGATACTTTATTAGAAAGTAGCAGTTATTAACACTAAAAAACACCACAGAAGTACAATTAAAATACCGATGAAAAGTGAAAAACAACAGAAACAGAAAAGACGTTAGAAGATCACTAGCAAATTTTCAGTGGTCAAAATAGGTAAAAGGAGAAGTAGAAACCTGAAGAGAAAAAGACAAGAAAGTACACTGTCAATAGTTTTAGTAAGAAACATCAAATTATATTGGATATACAGATAAGTAAGTAAACTGTCAATTCATAACATAACAGATGGCTTTTTGTAGGTTATAAAAAATAGATTATTTCAGTAAGTCACTTCTTCCAACCACAGTTGTCATTGAGATTTTTTCACATTAAAAATGTATAAGACATCAATTCTTTCCAAGAGACGGAAATAAGTACTACATGTAATGTTTTAATATTGAGTAATAATGACAAGCGAAAAAATTGATTACCAGAATAAAGAAACATATGTAACATAATGTTACAGAATAGTATATATATGATTAAGGAAAGATGTGCTTAAAATTTAAGAGAAACTACTTTTCTAACAAATACACAACAATCAGATGGCTATCATAAGTAGAAAAAAATAGCTTGTTGGTAAATTATATGATCTCCATAATGTGTGATTTATATTGCACATTTAAACCTAAGTTTAGGCTAATTAACGACCACAGTTTCAGTATTGGGGCAAATAATTACACTTCCAGATACAAAATTAACTATTTTGCTAGATTTGGATATTATTAAACCGAATACCGGGGCTGTTACGACAAGTGGGTGAATACACCCAACCTCAGTGAGTCAGGATAATGTTTATAATGTTAGCACTGGTATCCCTAAAGTTTTCCTTAATAAAAATGGAGTAGATTGAATTCGGTAGTTAGTTTGATAAATCGCTTTTTAAACTTCCTGAACGTATTCTTAAATGATTCAATAAAGATCTTATCGATTACCCAAACGTCATTAGAGATTTAGAGGTATTGCCATTCGAATAAATTAAGTTTACGCAGATGAAAAGGTGAGTTGATGTAAATGCTAGTGTAATTAAATGTTGTGAATTTTTATCATCATCCAAAGGTTATACTGAGGTAAAAGAAGATCTTCCCGTAGAGGCTTGACAGACTATTAAAGGTGAAAAGTAGGGCATTTGAGACAGTGAAGGGGGACTGCAGACAGATAAATGATGATTCCAGAGACCTTACTATGTATCTAGATGGCCTACACTTTAATATCATTAAATATAGAACAGGAATTAAATTCGATATCTGTGGTGGATGTTAAGGGTAAGAGACTGCCTACTTCCTTTGAGTGAGAGTGGATCAAACGTTTCATTGACAACCGTACAGACTGTAAGGATGATTCAGCAACAGAAAAAATGTCGACCACTTGTGGTGATGAAAACATAGAATAAGTGTGGTATCCTGTGAAAATTGTCAGTGCACGTAATTCTACAAAATCGTGAAACAAAGCAGCTGACGAGATAGACTTCTGAGAATTTCCAAGAATCTTTTAAACAATGAAAATGAAAATTCGACAAATTACTAACCAGAAAGGGACACTACTTTGAAGGGGATCAAAACGATGGACCAAATCGAAAGGAAACGTACCCCTTAGTAATCAAACAGACCACACAGTTTGTATTTTTATCTGATTACCTCAACTAAAGCGTCAATAGCATCATAAATTAGGCTTTGAAAAATTCAAAAGTTTTAGACAACTCCAACAACGATTGCATAATCTTTTGAGCAGTTTTAGATTATTGTAATCTTTTTTGAAATATTTGATAATCTACTATGAAAGGCAAAGTCCACTGTCAACTGACTTTATAATTGAAGATAGCTATTGGAATAGCATGTTCTATATTTATTTCAGAATGAAGACTATTTATGGAAAAGCAAACTTATATAATTTTTACGATCAATCCACTCTGCGAAGTATAAGCTTGTTAATCAATTTTATTGATCACCTGTGGAAAGAAACTAGTTGATATACCCTAGAAATATTAGTTTTTCTAAAGCATTCCATAATAACATAAAGAAACTATCAATCTCGTCCCATTAGAACATCAAAGTATGTTGTACTTTTCACAGGACTACATATTTTCGGTTGTGTTGGAAATTTAAATTAGTTTAACTTTGTCTCTGAATGGAAACAAGTGTCAAATAAATGTGTAGCTCACTGATCAAATAAACCACATTAGTATGAGATTAATCACTTTAGTCTGAATATATGAGTTTTCCTAAATATTATTTGATCTGTGTTTTATATTAACGAACTTGACTACAGAACAACTGAGAACCAAGGATCATTAAACAGCCGTATAAAAAAGGTATGGGACTTCTCAGCGGTACACATCCATAACTCCACTAAAAATAAAACATATGATCGTCAATATTCACTGAGAGCACTTGAACTCAAAACCATTAAGTTTACTCATTTAAGTTCTTGTTTAAGTGGTTAGAAATACAGGTATTCTCGTCTTCAGACAAATGAAAAGTTCACACAAGAATAACATTTTCTTTAAATATTTTATAAAACTTATCCGATTAAAGTAATATACACAAATAAAAAACACTTTAAGATCTTCAGTATACACCAAAAAAAGAAGCCATAGTAACATTGTACGTAAAAACCGATACATAAAATCCCCACAAAATAAAAACGAGGCATAAACCGAATAAAAATTAATTTCTCATCAGTAAACGTAAAAAAACACTCAAAACACACAGAAAATTATGTGCACGAACATAAACAAAAGATGCCCAGGATTTGTTGTTATTGAAGTGAGATAAATTTAATTAACTCAACAAACCAATATACAAAATACACTTCTTTGAAACACAAACAAAACATGTATATATAACAGAAACTTTATATATTAGTTTATTATTCAGTGAGAAAAAAACATATCAAAGGTTTAACGCAATAGGGCCAATGAAACATACACACACAAACAAAATGTTTAAACAAAATAAAATTCCAAAACTTGCCGCCAAATTTCTCCATTGTCTGTTCTAATTTGTGTTTTTATCCCAACAAAAAATGAAGAAAATAGAAGGAAAATTTATAAAAATATATTTTATGAATAAATATAAGTCTATACTGTCGATTTCTAATTAGGTTATCACGGTACCATAAAAATCATTGCAGAAAAAACGAATAAATGAGTACGTTGAGTGATATCGAAGTATGAATTTAAGACGATCACTTATATTTTCCATAGTAGCTTTAAATACAGTCAGTATGCGAAAAAACACTATCTAAATGTTATGACGGGCAGTGTCCAAAATCTGATACTGATAAACGACATGCTAAGCGCTAACTCCCAACTAACTACTTGGGCGATAACACAAAAGCGAGTATATTGGGCTACCAAATCAAATGTACAAATACACATTTATATATATGTACTCTACCTCTTAGGAAATCAATCTATTTTTGAGCCAATGAAATTCACTTGTCCTTCAGTTCACTTATGATTGGCATCCACTAACCTTCTCATTTGTCTACATCAGATATCAGATAGAGATACTTTGATATTTACTTCTTGAGTAACTTAAAGTGTTGAAAGATATCAAATTAATGGATTTGAATTTAGATCTTACTATTAAATAGAATGGTTAATCAGAATGATAATTTCTTACATGACAAGCAACCTTATAAAAATAAAATGTTCTTTAAAAAAGACCCTATAATTTATTAGCATTTTATTACAGATAGAAATATATCTCAATGTTCTAGCAAAGAATACCAGCCACTGTCTCTAATCAGAACGGTTACAGCAGACCTAAGTAATAGCCAAGACAGAATGAATACCATGAAAAGCATTTTGAAATGGGAGTGAGACTACGTATTACATGATGACTCGAAAGATAAAATGAATTTTCGATGGTCATTTGTCCCAGATAAAAGAAATGCTTGAATTTATCATGTCCACAGTAGGCTTCTGGAATATGCACATCGAACTTTTATTCATTTTATTAAAATTCAGGTTCTCACCTCTCACTGCTTTTTTTTCTATCTAACACTAGACCCCATATATGAACTATAATGATAGGAACTAAAGCGTTTTATTTTTAACATAATTCTTGTACACACACTAAGGTTTTTAATTTCGCTTATAAATAAGCAGCAAATTTTATACAGCTGAGGGTGGGGAGAGTCCACTCTCCCTCTCGAAATGCTCTCACATGGCCACTTGCATACAAACATTGCCAGAGAAGTCCTACTCACTACCTTCTCGCGTCACCACTGTTGTTTACGAAACTGAGAGAACGAAAAGTGAACGTCCGGCGCTTTAACTGGATAAGTGGACATGTAGAGTCCACCTAGGGGAGTTGGAAAGCCTTGATTCCAAACCATTGGTGTACATGGGTTCCAGTATCCTGAAGGAACAAACAGAGTGTGAACCTATTGTTATTCACCGGTTACCATGGGACTGCATCATCTAACGTTGATCCACTGACTTGTGGATTTGAACTCTACTTCAAACGCTCGGTGTCTGGCCCCCTAAGGAAACCACCTGCTTCGGTTTGAACATCCGGACAGTATTCAGCTCTCACACAAACCGAATGATTTGTGTGGCGCATATATATCTGGTGTCTCTTTGTACCAATGTTTATGTGTTTAAATAAATTAATAAAGATATGAAAAGGATATCGTTAAACCAGTGCTTTGTGATACGAATGACCTAGTAATTCTTACTTTGTTATTAAAATAGTCTAATCGAATAAATATATACACTGTATATTTTATACTGTGGTCAATTGAGTATCACCATTGCTTTCTAAAAGATGAATCAAACGAAGCTTAGTCTAAAAATCTACACGTGATTATCAAGTTGTATATACTCATATTTATGTTTAAATATTTATTGGCTTTCAAGTTACTGTATCTTGGAGAAAACAAGTTTTATTTATTCATATCGATTAGTGTATTAGCAGTATGGATTATCCATTATTTTGAACTTTTGATAAACAATGTAAAAAAAAACAAGATAGACATTTTATAGATAAAATAAACAATTTAGGCAAAACGATGATACAAAATAATCAGGGATCAAATAAAACAAATAATTAGCGTAATATTAGTCAATTTGAAAAGAGACCTGTTCATGAATGTATTTTTTCTTTCATACATCAAAACCTCTTTATATGAATGACAGATCAATCATTACACCGATCAAAGATTTCAACCAAAACTGGCTAAAAGATTGTTTTAAATATGTGGAATCGAAAATCCGAGAATATTTGAGATATGTACCATTTAGAACAATATATTGTTGTTCACCGGTTACCATGAGACTGCATCACCTAATGTTGATCCACTGACTTGTGGATATATATATATATAAGCGAGCAATATTGTTCTCGATTAGATCCTCATCAGGCTTTACTCCAATATACAGTAATATTTATATGTATATACGAAATTATTAAACCGATCAAGGTAGTTTATGAATCAATGATAACGATGGAAAAGATTACATAATAAGTGAAAAGTACAAATTGATAGTGTGGTGACACTTCTTATTAAGTAATCTTATGATTTTTATAAATGCTATCTCACTATATTTTTCTAATCATTGACTTATTTCTGATTATGTAACATTGATTTAAGCCTTTATTATTTTTATCAAAACTAGTACACTTGTCACCACACTATCAATTTGTACTTTTCACTTATTATGTAATCTTTTCCATTGTTATCATTGATTCATTAACTACCCTGATCGGTTTAATAATTTCGTATATACATATAAATATTACTATATATTGGAGTAAAACCTGATGAGGATCTAATCGAAAACAATCTTGTTCGCTTACATATATTGTTCTAAATTTACAATATGGGAATATTTCAAATGTACCATTAACTAGAGAAATGTTTAATTTTTAAGCTCTATTAAAAGAGAAAACATTATAAATAAACATTCAATTGATGATTCTTTTGATATTTTTTATACAAGGAATAATCAGATAGAGTATAAATTTTTCCAAGACAGACTATACAATTAAAAATTATGAAACCTAATAACCGAGAATTAATAAACTAAGGGTAATCGTTTCTGAACCATTTGAAACCAATATTTCAATTTATTTTAAAAAAGATATTTGGATTATGGTATTATCTACAAATACCTCTTAGTATTAACTACGAAAAACTGTTTCCTCATAAAAAAGAACTTTTTGAAAAGCAATAAGTAAGTGGAACTAGTTAATGATTGATACTAGTTAGAACACCATTGAAAAGTGCTGGAGCACTGTAAAGTGATTGTGTTTTCTTATGTGACTTATTAACAGTTTGTACTTATGAGCCAACCAGAGATGGAAGTTATGTCTTTCAGGTTTCCCAGGGAGCATGTTACGCTTTTAGATAAGTGATTTGTAATCCAAAAGTATGTCTTCCCGACTTCAGTCAATAACAAACATATGGAGGGTACAATTCAATAACATCAGTGGAGATGGCCTTACCATAATTGTAGCGTCTTTTTTAAAAGCAGAATATTACTAGACAGAGATTTGCATGAACTCAGAAGGAAGTAGTATTTTTGGAATGAATTCGAAAGAAATCAGGTGAAAATCTACTACTTTTTTACATGAAATAAAACAAGCAACATTGCTATACTCATGTCATGTTACAACACCGACAAACAGGAAGCGAAAATCTTTTCAAGTTAAAAATAGCCAATGTTACATATCTAGAGAACGAGATATTTAGGGCTTCCTTATATCCAACAATTTCAAAATACCAAAACAACTTTTCAGGAAATTGAAAGCGAACAAAAATCTATTGTCTATTCATATACATAAACACTCACTCAATTTCTTCTAGTTGAAATGGAAAATGAAAAGTACACAAAGAAACAAAATTCTTCCTGACTAGAAATCTGAATAAGGGAATTGAGAATTATATTGAAATATTATAATCATTTTCAGAAAAGAACTATAGCTCAATTACCAATAATGATATTTTGCATATTGTTTGGTTAAACAATCGCTTTTGGCTACTATGTTAGTGTATTTTTTTTCCTTTTCCCATAACAAAAAGACTTTATTCAATATTTTATCCTAATTCAGATTCAAATAAATATATTCTTGATTGGTTCTACGGAACTTATGTTGATCTGAACTTGGTCAATCATACAAATATCAGATGGATGAATTTCTTATCACTGTGATCCGTTTGTATGTTTCTCAACAGATTCTAAAAGCTTTTCAATGAAAACATAGCAAAATTCATAGTGTCAACGGAAAAAAAGCACTAAACAAGTTCATTACTTTGATTTACTACTCCCTTTAGTAAATTTGAGGTATACGACAAATTGTAGAATGTTTTGAGTGAGAACGTGAATCGATCAACGTTAGATCATCATTGAAAACCTGAGAGCACTTGATCTCCGTTTCGTATTAGTATGGTACACCTCAACAGTGCACATCCATGATCCTGTGCGCAGTATTCGAACCCAGGACCTATGGTTTCCAGCACGAACGTTTAACCTCTAGACCACTGAGCCGGCGTCCAACAGATGTCTAACATCGACGAATGCACGATATTGCACGACCATCTTCAACTGTCTTCAGTGAGCAACTGCATTCGCACGCGAGACCTAGGAACCTGAGTTAGAATACTGTGTGCGGGAGCGTGGGTGCGCGCTGCTGAGGAGTACCATACTAATAAAAAACGGCAGTACCGGGCTTCAAGTTTTTAAATGGTGGCCTAACATTGATCGATTCATGATCTCAATCAAAACTCAGCAATCTCCACAACCCTATACTATAGGATGTTTATTTGAATTTGAAACATACTTGTTGCATTTCAACAACTGGGTCACGAAACAAATTTCTGGTTTTTTCAAACATGAATAGAATTCTGAATAATCTGTAATTCAATAACTGTATCACAGGATATACACATGATGCATATATGCCAATAAAGTGATCAAAATTCAGTCCGGAATAACGAGACAGTAAAAACCCTTACTATGAATGACATAATTGTCAAACCTGTTGAAAAATATAGAATATATCTAGACTCAATAGCTCAATGGATAGATAAAGCTTTGAGCGTTCGAAGGGAAAGGTAACAAGTTAGAGCCTCAAAAAGGATGTCAACATTAAATGAAGGCATTCTCGTATTACTAGTCCTAAATAGGACGAAATGTGAATACTGGATTTCAGTCCTGACGACAATCTACTTTAAACAGACCATTAATCCCATAGTGAAACCATCCTTCAATTAAAAGTGATTATTTTATCTTAATCTTGACTGTATTTCCTGCACATGTTACAATGTTTCGTTAAAACGGAATAGATGAAACCAAGAGGGAACAGTTTTTCGGTGTTTTCTTTTTATTTCTTACACTTATCAAATTGAAAAAGAACCTTGAAAAGTACCTTCAAAGAACATTCAACGCTAAAGTTAACAAATTATAATATTAAATTATAGGCTTCAAAACACTTTCCATACACTTAAAGGTACTGATATCGAAATTAGAACTTTCATACAACTCAACATAGATTAAATGAGGACTAACTAAATGAATGACGTAGCAAACCTTTCTCATCATAAAACACATTAAAACTGCAAGAACATGAATTCATAAATAAATAGATTGTTCATTATGTCAAACGTTTACTCTCACTCTTATATTATTAAGATTGTTTTGATCCTGTACAAGTTGTAAACATTATTCGTTTGCTTGAAAACATAAATTTTACCATGATCTTCTGTACAATTCTAATTGTGGTGATCAATGACTGAATGACAAACATAAATAGATGATTCAGTAAAACAGACTACATCGAATGTTAGTGGATTGTGTCATTTAAAACGTTACAATTAAAAAACAAACGAATTACATAATATCAAATTGAAGCTAAGCGTTTTTCTCAAATGAAAATGATTATGATCATGAAAACTTACAACACCACGTTCACCACGTCCTCCACTGCTATAGGTAACAGCTAACGTTGAAGAGCATAATTCTGCATACCATGGAACAGATCCATGCTCTGAAACTGATCCAACACCTAGTGTATAAATGCTATTTGTATACCCATCACAATTGCAGTTATCATGACTTGTACCACCATTCCCACTGGCCCATACAAAAATTGATCCCAAACCACGTCGACCCTGTAAACATAAAAAGTTAATTCAATACATACTTAAAAACAGTTGACAACAAATAATTTAGACGAAATAAATGTATATTCTAGATATTTCATCGCTTTATGGAACTCAATTATTTGGGAAATAAGATCTCAAAAATAGATATCATATTTTTATTGATAATCAATAAAAAACTCTAAAATTTATTGTTGACTTTTAGATACACTAACACGAAATATTGTAGTTCATTAAGTAATGAGATAACCAATCTCATGAGTTGGGTTAAAACTAGTATGAAGAATAATAGTCTGAAGTAATCTTGTGAAATTTCAGATGCCCGTAGAGATATTAACAGTAAACAAAACCATTTATACATGATTGGTCAAAATCGGATGAGTTGCAGGTCTATTTCAGAAGCAGTAATAAATGGTACTTTATATCAGTGTCTAATTAATTTCTAAATATCAAAATCATTCAATAACCAAAAGGTTGATGGGTCCTGAACAAAAAAAAGATGTATTTCATTTTTAAGTGCTACAGAACTGAACGGTACGAAATAATCATGTATTGTTTTAGTTTTAACTTTTAAGAAAGCCACTGAAGTTTATACATATACATATATACTACTTGCTGATTTTAACAAACTTCATATACCATTACATTGATCTTTAGAGAATGTTCTTACAATTAATATGTCCATTAAATCTATAGGATACCGAACATTAATGTAACTGATTTCATCGTATCATTTCTCACTTAATATTTTTACGCATATGATCAACCAATAACCTCAAATCGATAACTCCGAAGTATGAAACCGTTGTCATAATTTCACTAATCATGTAATTATATATTGGTATTTGGATAAATAATCGACAGAATAAGACAATATAAAAGTGGTACTGTAAAAGTCCATGTAATTGTTAAAATATATTGATCATGTTCCATAGTGTTAACTGCAAAATACAAAACTAATTTTTAATCTACAACAAACATATTACTAATATGAAGCTATTAGAGATGGATAAAACAAAAAAACTAAATAGCTTTGATATTTATTAAGAATAGAAAACTTCCAACATGATGTTATCTTCAAAAAAGAATGATAATGTTGACTATGATCTAATGTTTTCTTTAAAAAAAACAAGTGGAAATGTGTAGTGTTTAATCTAACTGAGTAAACGGTTATTTACAAATTAAATTACAAACAAAACAGTATTCAAACTACTTACCATTTGTATTCCATTACGAAATGCCATTTGAGCAAGTTTGCCTGGACCATCAACTGTTTTACCGTCATCTTCCGGACCCCATGATGCAGAATATACATCAATATGTTGTAGCTGATGACTTAATGAACGTGACTCCATTGCGTCAGTCACATCACCATCTAACATACGTACGCCACCTATACGAGCTTTATAAGCTATACCTAATCCACATACACTATTATTTGCGGCAGCAGCCACTTCACCAGCGCAACGAGTACCATGACGGCTGAAGTAATAGAAAATAAGAAAGATTGATTATGTAAGAAGTGTTTATTTGACTTGTTTGTTATTCAATAAGGAAATACGAGCAACAATTACAATAGTATTTCTTTTTGCCTATGTGATCGAAAAAAGAAAATTCTACAGTTGGATTATAGTCAGATGAAAAGTTCGATCAACTGATTGAGACTTTCCCTCTTTGTTTAACGAAAAAATGCTAGACATTAATTTACTATTACTCGAAGTAAAAAAAATGCTATTGGTCAAGAAAAATTTATTTAGAATCTTTCATTTACTTTAAAATTTTCTTCATTCATAAATCAAGCAACTCAACTTGGAAAAAAAGAATGATTCACATAATCTACGTCCAATCCATACTCTTAATCTGTGTTAATCGTCCTTACGTTTCGAAAAAGATGTATCAAATAGTTAATAGGCATGCTTCAATTATTTTTATAGTCAGTGGAACATAACAATAAACCGTTAAAAGCTATTGGAGAAATGGAAACAGGTGATAAACAAATATCTAAAAGAAAGGTGACTATCTAAACAACATTATCAGTATAAAAGATTATTTAGTGTTGTTGACTGTACGCAGATTGATTACTGATTAGGCACAATACAACTTATTTCAAATCACAGAGATACATTTCATCATATGAAGGTAACAACAAAATATGCAACATTTTTACAGTTATCTCAGAAATCGATTCATTAGTGTACGATAAATTTCACCATAGATAGAAAAGACTAACTTATACTGGCTTGCGAAGTGAAATGAAGATTACATGCTTAATGTTGAGAGGAAAGAGTGACAAAAAAGCGCCAAAAAGACTATGATTTATCTGAAACTCTTCTGATACTCCTTTGGTAATCTGTTAAGTCTCCTGTGCATGAGTTATTTCGAGACAATAACGAAAATGAAAGCAGTATTAGATCAATTTCATGCTTTATTTCATAATCTGGATTTACTAAAATAGTGGTTTGTTATATTTTAATTACTGTAAACACTGAATTGTACCTGTATAAACGTTTATCCGCGGCGTGCATTAGAAATATGTAACATTAACTAAGCATAATGGTTATAGTTCAAGACGAAAATAAAACAAACAAACACAAAATCAGTGAAAACATGTGATTATTCGCCTATGAATTTCAGCTCCAAAGTTGAGAAAGATTAATGGATAGTTTTCGAACTAATTACAAGCATACAAAACGAAAAAAAAGAATTCTAGCATATGATGTGGCAAATTTTATTTGTGGACGTAATCTCAAGTTTTTTCGCCTTTCAGACATGAACAATATGAAGCATGAAGCATAAATTGCGTTTAAAGTAGCTATTACATTTCTTAACGTATAAATTCAAACAAACCTAAATAAGTCAGTAGTGTCTGAATCAATCAAGTATGTTATTTTGTACGTGATGAAGACCACCACCTTATAAAAATGTTAATTTTACTCTAAATAGACCTTATATTTCAGACTGGGACAGTATAATTCTCCATATTATGTGCAGTCGAAAAAGTTGATGCTTGTAATTTAATGCACACCGTATATACACAAATACATAAAGAACTACCACACAAGTGACCTTTATAAAACAAATCAATAACATTATTTGTAAACATACGGATATATTAATAAAATTATATAGGGATAAACTTAAGTTATTCGACAAAAGGCTCTAAATGAGTAAACATCATCGTGAAGATTGTTCAATCCAAGTATAGTTCACACCACTTAATAACCTTAGTTCACCAACTGAAAACTCAAAGAGTACCGAAAAGTTATTTCATCACTACTTGTAGCTCCATGGGGTGAGCAGCTAGTTTCGAACTTAAGAAATAAAGACTAGTTAAGTAGAGCCAGCGCTATACATTGTTTCTAAACAGTTTTCCACAAACTATTATTTGCTAAATTCCTGAAGGCAACCGATAGAAAATCGTAACAGTATGTTTCTTTACTTTAAACAAAGTATATGGTAGATGAAACAATAGAAACCGATTATAAAATTTAAGAACTTTCACAGTATCTTACAAATGACGATTTCTCATCTCAACATTTCCAAACAATCCTACAGTTATGCCTTACTAATAAAAATGCATTTTTGATTGAAAATTCACAAATCTATTAATTTGAACTAGTATATGTAAATTCTATTGTAATGCAACTGCTTCGTTTACATATCTTTGACAAAATACATATTTCCAATTCAATTGATATACTCACAATCATATTCAACATTCAATGTAAACGTATAGTATTAAGGTATGATTACTCAATCAACTCTTTAAAAATGATTAAATGCAATAAATATATTATCATTGTAAACTTTTAAAGATAACATTTCACAAATCATCTTCACATATAGTCATCTTCTAGTTTAATTAAACATAAACTAATAAATTTCAATATTTCAAATAGTCAGACAATTTGACATAGTCGTTGTTCCAATATTAAAATGAAAATAAGTTACATAAACTGAAGTGATCTGTATGTTAAATGTGAATTGGCTAATTAATAATTCATGTTTAAAACTATGTAACTTTTTTCCATTGTTGCAATGCTCTCATCATGAAAACACGTAGATAAATACATTTGTTAATTAAATCACAAGACACGTTATATGTATAGGTAACAATAAATGTTACATAAAACAGCTGTAAAATGTAATGAAATATAAACAGAGTATTAAACGAGAACAAAACAATAACACGAAGTTAATGTGTATTAAAAAACATCTATCTGCATACACGTGTATATTTTTATGTTGATATTGCAAGGATCAGATAATGCAAAACGAAACTAATTACGAAATGTAACAAAAAGTCGATTGAAAATAGCGGGGTAAAAATATATATCTAAAATTAAGCTTGACTTTGGAAATTCACTATTTATTTTGACTTGATGTTGTAGCGGTAAATAAATCCCCACAATAAATAGCTCTGTACGTCTTCGTTATTGGATGCTAACCAAATTAGTTTTAATGGACTCACCTAGCTGAAGGCGCTACAAGATAGAATAAAACAGCAAAACAGGGATCTTGTGCACCTAACATCTATCGCTTGTTTTCTAGCCGACTTGCAGTTACTCTTCGGATAAAAGCTGAGTTAGCCGGCTATTCCATATCCACGTGAATCTATGAATTCAGATGCTTCTGCAGAGAAACCTCTGTCGGGCGCACAGCCAAACAATTGAGCTAATGTGTTAGTGACCAATGTCACGTGCATTAGGTCCTTCATACTGCAGACCGAATGTATCCTATCGATAAAGCTGCAATGTAGTCACTAGTCTGAGTGGCCCAATATCGCGTGCATTATGCTGAGATGTAAGGTGGTGATCGGAGGAAGTCGACAGGAATCCCTAAACCTAGGTTTCGTGCTATATAGCACTTGTCTGGAAGGTGTACCTGTAATCTTGAGGGGATCGATGCTCCCTAACGGATTCGATCTCGTGTCAAAGAGCATCACAGTTAAAGAAGTTGCAACTGAACTATCCAGGCCACGATTGATCTTTTGTAGGACTGAGATGTATTGTAAAATGACTGATTACTGGGAACTGACCAATGTCATGTGTATCAAGTCCTTCATAGTGCAGGTACAGGTACACCTTGCTGACGAGTGTAAAACAACACGAAACCTAAGTCTACGACATTTTGTCTACTACCTCCAACAAATGCCTCACTTATTACGTAAGATTATAATTTCTAATGAATGTTGTTTCAGTGTCTATAGTTTTCAAGTCCCTGACCTACTTACTACTATAAAACACTGATCTAAGCATTTATTATTCTTATCAGAATTAGTACACTTTTCCTCACACTATTAATTTGTACTTTTTACTTATTGTTTATTTATGTAATCTATTCGACCGTTATCGCTGACTCATAAACTGGCTTGATTAGTTTAATATTTTCATATAAACATTATAATATATTAGAGACTGGTGAAAATTACATTGTTCGCTTATACACAGCAGAGATTTATCTTAATTGTTAGATACATTATGTTTCATTCTTCATACTAACCCATCTATCATTAGTTATACGCGCAGTTAATATTCAAACTGATTGAATATGTAAAAAAAATAAATGAATCTCTAACTAGAAAAAAGCCCAACCACCAAGTATCTACATTAAATTAAAATCAATTATCCTTTATAACGAAAATTGATGACCTCTAAGGTAGTTGAATGAATAACTCAGAGGAATTGAAATGTTGACTCAACAAATAACAAATTAAACAGTAAATCATTAATTTGATCAAAGACTTCCAGGTTACATTAAAAGTAGTAATAAAATGAAAAATTGAGATTAGACAGTTTTCGATAATTATGATAGGTCACTTAGACATTGCATAAGTTTCCTTGACGAGATGACTTCAAATGAGGTCAATCAGCTAGTCATAAACACTGTAGAACCGGACAGTACTTAGTCCACTTTATTAAGCGAGTTGAAATAATAATACCAATAGTAATGAAATGCAATTTTACATATAAGTTTTTAAAAAAAAATGAATAAGCAGTTGTTTGAACATGACATTCTCTGTGTTCACACTGGATGTAAACAAACATGTAGCACAGAAAAACTAATTCGAAAAATACTACATTTTAAGGAGAAATTTATACAGAAACAAATTTGATGGAAAAGAACCAAGGTCATTTCTTTGTGCGTCATCATCGATACATAGTATTTATTTACTTCTACACACTTCTCTGGTCTTTAGATTTTTCCTCATTTTCTATTAAGTGTATGTCTAACACGTTTTGTTGAAAACCATTCGTAAGTAGTGGAATAAACAAGTATGTTTTAGAACTATTATATCCAATAATAATGGACATCATTTTAATTTAGATTTTAAAAGAATTCACAATTTTGTTTTTTACGTGTTGACTCGTTTATAATTCTTTATCAGTATGAGTGATTAAAAGTTGGGAAATTTTTGTGTAATATCTGTTAATTGTTTAATACAATGGTCAAAGGGAGAGGAAATCAAAGGGAAATCAATAAAATTATTCAATGTAGATATAAAAGGTCTGGATTCAGACTTCATCGGCATTAGGTATTCATTAGAGAGGACTTTATCCGCGATGTTTGCTAAATGAACGCTCGATTAGATTTCCTAGCTGCTTCTAGCAAATCCAGGTTTAATCATAATGGCAAGTTGAACACAAGAGAAAAGGTTCGATGTGAGGAGAGAACGCTTTTATGTACAGATAAACGATGGTATTTATGCAGTTACACATGACCTTAATCTTCTGGAACCATACTAAATATAGTATCAGTACGAATAAATATCCAATAAAAACTGTGGCACGTGACTCTACATTCTTTAAATGTTCACGCAAAGATTCGACTCAATGCCGATTGGATAAAACGTTTCTCGGGATTTCTGGGCCTCTAGGAAGTGTAAAGAGGGATATTCTTAGGATTTCCCCAACGATCCGATGGGAAAAAGTGATATCGTAAATTTCTTTTACTTAAATATACAATTAAATTCAATCAGCATCGGGTACTCGATCAAAATAAAATTTTAAAGAAGTGATTAGATAGTGCAAATGACCAATTTATAAAAAATATTGACCGCATAGTGAATAATCACCTAGTAATGTTCATAACTGGTGTAGTGGGTGATCCAGATCTCTGTATTAAAAAAGCTTGACTTTTGGAGGTTGAGCATAGAAAATAATGATGAACAGAAAATAATTCAGGGTTCTTTACTGATACCCATCAATTATTTTACACTGTAATGCCCAGATATCATGGCAGCCACATCGTAAAAATTATGACTGCGATTTTGCCACTGCTGAGAATATTACAATTACCAGTATACTGATAGATAAGTTGACCGATCCGATTAGGAACTTCATAGAAAAATGCACTGACAGATTCAATACACAAGGTTAGGTTGAAGATCTTCAGGTCCTCTGCATCTATGATAACTTCAAATGTACAATTCATAGTCTAATACTCCATATTTCTAGCATCAATCAATTGTTAATATTTTGTTAAGATCAGTGAGATACATCTTATTCTAGATATACTTGAAATTCACCGGTTACAGTTACTTAACATACCGGTTTCACCAAAAGAATGAATCCTAATGCATAACAAACACTACATGTAAAGTGAATAAAATAATTCAGTTGTGATGATGAAATTCAATTCGATAATACGTTCATTACGTATTGAAAAATTACTAACGTTAGTTTAGATAGGCGATGTGTACCAATAATGTGTATAAGATATAAACGAATTAGTTACTTCCCATAGACTATTCAACTGAGATTGACAAAGAGGGTAAGTTGATAAGCCGCCCTAAAATATTTAATCATAAATTCCAGATAATTCCATCAGACAAGATCGTAAATTCTAATAGACTTAGTAAGTCAATTTAGTGTGTAAATATTGACATTATAATTTCGACCACAAATGAAGGTTCTTTTTGGAAAAAAAGACATAACTTCAAATATGGCCAACTGATAACTTTGTTTAAAGAACTAATGAAACATAGGATTTCTCTTAAAGCCCAACTATTTATTTGGAAAACATAGGAATACATTTAAATTTCATTATCACAGATTACCATCATCATCAGTGTATATGGCATACTAACAAAAATCCTGTAAAAATAATATTATATGATTAGAAATGAATGTCATCGTAAACGAAAAAGGCAAATAAAGAGAATACAAAATAAAAACGATTTAGAAAGAAAAAAATCATTGAACTGAAATAAAAAAGTAGGTAGAAAGTATGTTGCATTGATTTTATTGCTTGAATATTTTACGATAAATAGACTTATGGCAACATCAAACTATGAGTAGAGAGAAATTGTTTTCATAGGAAAATGGAAATAGTGTGGTGACGACAAGTAAAATGGTGAGCAAACATTTTCACAACACAACGAATATTGGTGCTCTCTCTCTCTCTCATATATATATATATATATATATATATATATATATATATATATATATATATATATTCGGTCCATTAGCTATATAATATGGGATTGAAAACAACTGGTAAAAGGAATGAGTAAAAATGAGACTCGGGTGTCAATACAAAGTAACGGTAAGAATATTTTATTCAACACTTCAAAATTTTAGAAAGGTTATGATTTTAAAATAAAGTTTAGTCTTTGTTAGAATAAACTTTTAAACCAACAGACCTTCGGACGCATTGCCCTACTCAGTACTGTAATCAAGGAGAACTCGAGGTCAATCTTATGGAACGTGTATCAGTTGTTAAAAATAAATTGTTTAAGTTAACGCAAATAAATAGTAATCTAACCCACTGGAGTCACCAAAATAACAGTTACTTTTATACACTTTCACACATTAATATTGAAACCACTGTGACGCGACCCCGACAGGTAATATATACTCATTCCTATTGGTTATTACAGGATGTAAAATATTACATACTTTTCTAATATTGACTAATCTTAAAGCTTTCCTAAAAATTCAGTCACCACCATTTATATTTGTGTGAGATTGTATCCGTGGAGTTGTTGTCATGTATTAATCCTCCCATTGATCCAGTTGTATTAGATCCAGTTTACTTAAGAATCTCCCATTAATTCTCGGTTTGGACTCAAAGAATATGTAGTTATAGCAAAAACGTAGCTGAACTATCAACAAGTATACCATAAAATTCACATATTCCTGACGCTTATTTATTTCATAGCTTGTTACTCTAAGAAATTTTCAACCATTTCATTTCACTTTGAATAAAATTCGGACAGAATTATTGTAACCAAAAAGCTTACTAAAGATTGAAATATCACAAGCATTGTTAAACAGATATTACTAATATTACATGATGCTTAAATTGAATAATCAATGATTGAGGCAAAATAAGTAATCCATACATAAACAGGCATGATAGCACAATAAAATAATCATCAACAAATACGTTGAATTTAGTCAATATTTTAATTTAAAAATAAGGCAAACAGTAACGAGTGAAGCGGTTTAAACTGTATGCTTTTAGTTTCAATTCTCAGATTGTCGTAATTTAAGACTTGTATTGTTGCCGACGGTTGTCTGTTGCTTCCCTCATTAAATGTAAGCACAGTAAGCGGTACCTAGGTCGTCGGCACACTTTTTCCTTTTTCATCTATCCTCGCTCACGTTATTCTGTATGCTCCCCTAGTACAAAAATCACCTTCTAACTAAATGTGAAACCATACACAATTTATTCAGAAAAATATTAGTTTAAACAAAAGAGAAAGCTAATTATAGCTATCCTGAGTTGAAAACAACTCAACATGAATAATAAATCGAATAGAACCACGAAGATGTTTTATACAAACAACGAACAATGACTACTGACAATAATTTTTTCTGCAGATAAACTATACAACAAATTTATGCCAACTCTGTTATTTTAATCAAATAGACTGTAATTAACGGACAAACAAAATACACTTACCAAGTTTACTGAATTATAGACAATAGGTTTTAGTTAAGTAAAAGAGATATTATTAACGCTTGAAAAATTAATCTCGAGATTTATTATCATTAGATAGTTTAGGTGACTAGAAATTATCGATACTGAAACAAATATTACCTTCTTTTAAATTATTAACACTATATTCTTATTTCTCCTACAAGCTTTCTCATTCAATTTTTTCCTAGTATTGTTGTTGTTATCATATTCATTCCATCATTTTTTTCTGTGATTTACCTCACAAATTATTTGTCAATTTTACAAGCAACCTACACAGATAAACATCTATGAAAAAGCTTAGATTATTTTATCTCTGTATAATACAGAATTTCTATAAACGAGAAAAATAATTATGATATACATATGTCTTCATAGAATTGGGGCAAAAGCAAAATCTACTGATAACCTTGAAGGATCTATCAGCCAATTAGGAAACAGAACCTTGTTACAAAAGAATTAGTGGTAAAAACTTAATATTAAAACAGTGGAATAATAACTCAATATTTAACCATCATACTTGGAATTATTTTTTTGCAGTAAAACAAAAGGGTTAAGTTTTTCAGATTAATAGTTGGGATAATGTTGTATGTCAGCGACTATCACTAGCGACAACACAAAAAGCTTAGGTTTAGATATTAGGAGTTAAAATGGAGTCCTGAGGTGGATCTACAAATAAAGGTTAAGGTTTTCATCACGAACTTACATAAGCTATGATGCAAATTTTTGTCACTTTTTTTACACACTTATGAAATTTGTGATTGGAATTTAAAGTACGGTGTAGAGTGGAGGAATACTATCTAGTCTAACGAAGCAATCATGAAAACGTATTGAATCACATCAAGTACTTTACCACACATTCTGCTTTAGGAGCAGGCATGTTTTGTAATTTAGTTTAAGCACCATTTTAGATTCACTTTCCGTTGATTTCATACATTTTAGGAACGAAACATTCCCAATATTTAATTCGCTTGTAATAGCATCTAAGTTATCTATCACTGCACTTTAAATATCGTTCAAAATACACGAAGCTTCATCGTAATTCTGATTAGTTAACTCAAGGGTGTCAATATACTATACTGTAACCAGAATTTAAATGGTTTTATTATACTTCTAAACAAAGTCATCTCCAACATCCACAAACTTTTTAGAAAGAAATTAGTATAGAAATTATTAGAATTACGATTGCATTAAATATATAGAAATAAATTTACAACAGACTTACTTGGTATTACTTTTATCTCTTGTTAAATAACGAGGTTCTGGATTATCATCATTACTGTTCACATCATATGATGCAAATGGATCCTAAAGTCGGACAAAATCATAATAATAATAATAGAAAGAATCAATAGAGTAAAAACTATGACACGAATAGATGATGAAATGTATAACAGTTATGAAAAGACGAAGTAGCTTAAAGATTATTCAAATCAGTCAAAAGATGAATGAAAAGCGTATAGTGTTCGACAGTTATTCAGTCCAAGCATGAGGAGAGAGATTGTAGTCCTTTAAGTCTTTTAACAGAAATATCAAGGTTAAGTCAAGGAAATGAAAACGTGTCCGCGGAAAACAAATAGCAAACAACATTTCATAACCTATTCAGTCAGGAGGTAACTGAAAAGGAAATTGAATCAGAGATGATCTTAGTGACCTGAGAGCGTGACCCCAGTGTCCATGGAACAACTGATTGAGGCCGGGCACACACGATCCTTTTGTGAGTAATCTCCATGTTAGCTCCGTACTTGTTAGCACCTCACCACTGGAGACGGGAATCCGTGGGATAAGGCGGGGTGCAATTTTACGGTGGATCTCATCTAACTCCAGTCTTTCTTGTGCGGCTGCAACATGGCTGTTATACTGGTTGTCTGAAGAAAATACCTTACCGCCGTCACACCATGGGTTTGTTGCTTTTAGTCTTAGCCCTCTTCAATCGACCTGTCTGGCATGGTAAACCTTGAGGAACGATTGATCCAACCAGTATAGCTCGACTGGTTCATCACGATAGACAAGCACGATCATCACCACGTCAAGGTAGCAGTAACGGTCGGGTTCATAATTTATTCTATGATCGTAGCTAATGAATTATCTTTAAGTATATTTGAAGATTTGTTTTAAAAGAAAAACAAATACATAATTAAAAATGTAGAAATGAAAAGTTCAATCGAACAAACAATATTCTCATTTGATATTTTATTCGTCTCTTTTTTAACTTTGTAAAATAAATAATAAATGATGAAGTGTTTCATTTTGCGATGACTTAAAATGTTTAATGACTTATGAAAATAACAACACTTAAATAGTAACTAGAAGTAGGTAAAATGAAATGACCGTAAGTAAGAAACTATATAAATTCATTTCAAGTATCTGTTTATATACTACTTACAGAATGTAAGTTGACAAGAGGGAAAAATAAAAATATTCTCGTATTTAAAAACAAAGAAAATAACAAATATGATCAATGAAACAGTTGGATTATTAGACTAAAATGAAAGTATATTTTGACTAAATTAAACTTTAAATGTATACAGAATCTAACAATTCAATGAACAATTTTCGCAAAATGGTTCTTTTTTTTCACGAAGTTGAATTCTCTTATGTTCAACAAAGTTCATAAGATTTCTTCTATTTTTTTTCTATTTGGCTTTTCCTTCACTTCATTTATCAATAATAAATTATTGGAAAATTAACTTAATTGTCAGTAACAAACTTGTATTCTGGGTCATTCTATTTTGCCTTTAGCTAATGTCAAATAAATTTGTTAACATTTCTCTTTTTTTATTCGATTAAATAATGATTTGAAAAATTTAATGGATGTATGGAATTTATTTTCAAGAGTATAGATATAGATATTAGAAGTAATACTGAAATAATCGGGGCTACCTTTTTTGTTCAGTGAGAAATTTCAACAAATTGTTATAACCAGAAGTGGTTTTGTGGAGATTTCATTCATTTTATAGTTGAATTCATAAGTCGACCGAAGCTAAGCCACCATGGAAAACCTGGATGCACTGGACGGTCGTTTTATCTTAGTATGGGACTCCTCACCAGTGTGCATCTACAATCCGGCTCCGCAAGATTTAAACCCAGGACCTATCAGTCTCGCGTGTGAACGCTTAGTCTCTAAACCACTGACTTGGCATCCAACCGTGTTAATTTTTAACTTCACAGAAAACAATAAAGAACGGTGGCTCAATTTCGTTGATTAGTTGAAGTTAGACATTAACATCGTTGGATGCCGGTTCAGTGGTCTAGAAATTGTTATAAATCAACAAAATTTTTTATAGAGAATAAAAATGTTAAATAAAGTTCTAAATAACTTTCATAGTAAAGTGTTATAGAGTTTATCATCAAAATAATTTGTAAAAACACTGTTATATAATGTTAAATAAAGTGTTTAATTCCGTAACTACACAACATATTGCTTAAACTATTTTAATGAGATTTTAATAAATAAATGAAAAGTGAAATGAAACTGAATTGAGTTTTTTGCAAGCAAATATACAAAGCAATGAATTTGTTATGTAGATAATAGTATGTATTACAAAACTACTTAGATCACAGTTGATGAGAATTTGAGATGTAGTAGAAGCTGTAAATTAGCAAGTATTTTATAGTCCAAAGGGGATTAGACAAAAAGTGGGGTATAGTGCAACATGAGCGATTGATCAGTTTTTAAAACAGTTATATGAACCCAAAAGAAACAACGGTATGACTTGTATACAAAAATTGCTAATAATGTTAATTATTCACTGACTTAGTTATTTAAATCAGTAACATAGTTATTAAGTAGAGTTAAAGTTCAGAGTCAGTCTACAGAAGATTTAGATTTTTTCTTGAAAGGTAACGAAATAAACGGAGAGAGATTACCAGTATTTCTGTACTTTATAAAACTCTTCCCAGTCGTATAAGTAGTGGTGGCCTAGTGTTTATAGCACTTGACTATCTATTGTGACTTTATGTCCGGCTTTTTATTACGTGATTTATCCACCAATCAAAATACGACTTATACAATCTTAGCACTGTACCAAACCAATGACTTTCGACCGGTATGGGCAGCCTAGCGTCCTTATTGGTCCTATATCCGCCTAGCCCGTCCACTTGAGTCCAGAACACCGATACCAGCATCCACTATGCGAATCGAACCGAGTCATTTATTTCAGACATACCGGGTTTATATATCAATCAAACAGATCGTAACGCATCATAAAATAGGAAATAACATTTGTACACAATAAAGCCAAAAAGTGGCTGTGAACGTGGGAGGCGGTAGTCAATAAACTGAACATAGCTTAAGAACAGTAAATCGTATAATAATAAATTATAGGTCAAAATAAAGCTTATAATAAGAGGAATATAAATACACATAATCTAATTATTGAATGGTTATACCATAAGAATGTATAGATAATATTGATCAATTAATATGTCTCAGAAGTTACTCGTGATTTAATCTTCACTCGGATATAACACTATCAAACACTGAATTGAATGTATCAACAGCTACTTGGCAAGCCAAAAATTTCATGGGCCTTCAGACAAAAAGTATGACTTAATACCGATTAAATAAACGAGCACTTGATTTAATAAATTCATCTCATCGTATTGAGCTAGTGCATTGACAAAATTCTTAATTTTAAAACAATTCCTCAATCCATTAAACTAATTATCATTAAGATTCGTCAAGTAGTTATGATCAATTATGACTTTCAAAATATTATTCAAACCATTTTATTTCAACTCTTTTACATCAGACACAAGAACATGTATTACACATAAATTCCTAAATATCATTCATTATCAGATATGAGTGTGTGTGTGTGTTCATGGATGATAAAAGAAAATTCTCGATGGAATGTTAAAAGAAGAAACAATAAACTGATAAGTTTAAACATTTAGTTTCAAAACCAAAAACAAAACAAAAAAAAGACCAAAACATTGGTTGAATGGATTTCCATAAAATGTTAACTAACTCAACAAACATGTTAATGTCACTAAAAAGAATTAAATATACGCATATATTAACCAACCTAATAAATCACTTTAGTATAAATGAAAATGAAGCTTACATAAATATTTTTTCATGTTTTATCTGAAATTCTCCATTTCAAAACAAACGACAAACCATAAATGTAAATTAATGATTTTATGGACTTAAAAGAGATGCTTCATAAATTTATTCTTTATAGTTATTACTAGAAATTACTTCTTTATTTACCTTTTACGATAAAATTGAAAGTAGAAATGGCTTATTGAACAAACCATACAACATTTAAATCATGTAGACAAAATTGAATTTTGGGCGAGATTATAATGTATTAATGACCTTTGAGTAATGTTAAAGTGACCTATAAAAAATTTGACCATTTACTAGGGTTACAAGAGAATTATAAACTAGTATGAGGAAATAAGATTAAGATTCAAAGTTAAAAAACAGGTTTAGGTGAAGTTTTGTTCTCTGAATTAAATGGTTTGGTTATGAAGCTTTCATTGTTCCTCTGAACAATAACACCAGCACAAACGTCGGATAGAAGTGAAATGTTTGAAATGCTTCCTTAAACCCTTTAACAAAATAATGTGGTTCAAATAGAGTGGGTACTTGATTACCTAAAAATGCCTACATGTAAGTGAATACAAAAAATATCAAAGCTGATCAGAGATCTTAGGATGTTGCAGGTATTTTTCATCATATCTAACGACAAATTTTGAAAGTATGACAAATAATATTTAAAAATAGTAATAAGTTTGAGCTTTATTGCTCAATAAGTCTAGGCGTACACATTTTTCGTCCGAGCAGCAAATTATATCTAACTGCAATTACACTTGAAACTAAACTACTGATTACTAAAGCATATTACTGTAAAAAGTTAAGCATTGAACAAATCATTATCTTACTAAGATAACAGATTATATCATTTTTACAATTCTTAGTATTATTGGACCACAGGTTTGAGGAGAACAATGAGGAAAGGAGTGGAAATTTGATCACTAGTTCAGGGATGGATATGAATTATAAAATAGAAGCACAGTTGTTTTGGTGTTATTCTAAAAGCCAACTTTTTAGATGCCAGACATTTTAAATAAAATATGAAGTTAGAACAATGTGTAAAAATAATTAACTTGTTAAACGCTATGGAGACTTTTGAGAGATTTTGTATTGATCAAAGGTAAGGTCCTGTCTTAAACTGACATACGATTAATGCACCAGCGGTCTGTTGAAACTTCTGTGTCACCTATTTATCGACATGGATTTATTGCCGGAATTTTCTGTTTTATATTTGTTTTAGCTGGCTAATTAAGTATGATAACTGCATGTACTTGCGCAATACCATCTAATGTCTTAAAATTATCGCGAGTTCGATTGCTGAAAACTTAAAAAAGAACCATCAAATTGGTTCATATACTTTTCTTCTTATCTGTCCTTTGGAGAAATTAAAGATAATTTCAATGTAATTCACGTACTAAATATAAAACGCGAAGAAAAGAGGTATCATGGAAGCGGAATTACTTGTAAACATTTACGGATGAATATTAATAGCAGCCAATTATTGTCGAAAACCGTCTTTTATAGAAATCTCTTTTTAAAATTACAAATTAAATGAATATAAAATGGGAACTCAATACAATATTGTACATTTTATGTTAAAGATTGTTTATCGTAATCAAATATAGGTTACTGAATGAAGCAATTATCATTACTACTAATACCTGTATTCAGTATACTAATAATAAACTACTTATAATCTAAATTACCACTCAAATTAAACACGCTGTATGGTGTTTCGTAGCTAAAACATCAATTGAAAGGTTATATTTAGAATTCTTTCCACCACATCTAAATGTCTTGTCTTAGGAACCAATCATTAAAATTAACTTATATCTCTAAAGACTATAAATTAACAAATCATTAAACACATAATAACTAAATGTCAGACATAAATACAACAGTTAGAATAATACTTCAACTGAATTTTCTTGAATCTACTTAAATCAAATCAAGAAGCAGTTTATATTTCAGCAAGCCAGTTGAGTTTTTAATGATTGGTTTGTCGAGAATATAGACTTTTTTAACTAGAAATACAGAAACCAATATTCTTAATATCCATTAGTTATACTCGACCGTGTATCATATGAAGTGATTTTGAATAGATCCATAACTCCAATCAACTATAGGCATATAGTCGATCATAATATGAGAAGTGTATACGATATTATCCACAGTCATTGATCCGACTTTCCTTAATTATAAAGGAAATGCTTTTTGACAATAAAACCAAACTGCGCATAGAACACATAGTCTTTTAATTAAGACACTATTTGGACAAAGTAAGTAATTACTACTGTCTGAAATTGAGAAAAAATCCATATGATTATCAGTTATTATGCAAAAAACAAACGCAAATAATCTTGGGTATCGAATTCATATAAATATTGATGAATAAAAAGCTTCAGTAATTGAAATGAAGAAATTCAATCAAGAAGAGACTGCCTAATAAAGGCTAGAAACTAGATATATTTAAAAGCATAGTTGTTAGAGACGTAGATAACTAAGGTAAGTATTCGTGAAATTATTTATCACAATGGAACAAACAATCAACAGTGAATTTAAACAGAAACGATTCAATGAAATAATGTTTAGAAAATCAGTACCGAACACTACGACATGTTACAAAACATTAGACGTTTAAGGATATTTTCTATAAGCAATGATTTTTTCCCTATTATTACAAGTTAAGAAACAATAAAAGACAATGTAGGCTATAGTTACATCATCAAAAGCAAAACAGTATTGTGTCATAAAAGATATTTTTCTTTATATTTTCATTTCAAAAAATAGAAAAGTATAATCAAGAAAATGTCTCAGAAGAAAGAATATAACTTACGTAATTATCTTTCAAATCTGGATGATCTGTTTCTAAACCATCGTCTAGAATAGTAACCACGACACTTTGACCTGCATAACCACGTGCCCAAACTGATTGAACATTCATATCAAGACCACCAGGACCTCCACGATTCTAGTTGTAAAAATAATATAATAAAGAACTTGTATAATAACGAACAAATGAAAGTCTAAGTAGAATTTATTTCGAAAATTCTGAAATTAAACTGAACTAACAGAATGTTACTTCTTCAATCATCTAACTAGAATATGAAATGACTGGACATATTGTATAGACTAACCTGATTAAACTGTTATAACATAAATGATTCATTAGAACAATTTATTTAGCTAATCATGTGGTAAACACATACAGTAAATCAATTTCATAAGCCATCAAATGATGCAACACATTGAATAAGTAAAACGAGTTATAATCATAAAAGTTTATTCATCAGGAGATAAATATCATCAACAAAGAAAATTCCAACAGTAACAATGATTCTGAGATATATTTACGGTTATTCTCGACAATTTTTTTCACTGGTCGCTTTAAAAGTTCATTCTAGTGATAGATAACGTACATCATAGCATGAAGGTATAACCAATTTTCATCTACTTATTGGGAAATATTTCCCACGCATATAAAAGCCTAATTAACATTGATTATTGTTGAGTATATAGTGAGAAAACAAAAACACAGTTAATTAAATACTGAATTCAGTTGTCTCTGGTAAAAGTATAGTATACTGATAGCCTTGAGTTAACAAATCAGAAGATAACCCTTCACGTATTTTACGCGAAATTTAAAGTACAATGATAGATAACTTGTATGTTCTTATCAACTAAGTGAAAAATGGCAATAATAAATTATTACAATACTGGCAATTAATGAAAATATCCGATATGCAACCAAAAAGTGAAGTTAAGATGGTACAAAGTTACAAGACATACTTGTTCCTAAGCCAGATTGTGTGTTAAAGTTCTTGATGTGATTCAACGCGCAGTTAAGTGTTTAGTGAAGCTATATAATATTCCCCTTTTATAACACTTACTCTAAATCTCAACACTAAGTTTCTTAAGTTCGTAAAAAATAAGGGTGAGAAATCATTATGTTATAGCTGATGTTAGTTCGTGATGAAAACCCTAAACCAAATTTGTAAACTTAACTATAAACTGCAGCGTAACTCTAAATATTTAATCCTAGTCTTCTTACATTATAACTTGTGTCAGTTGGTGACGGGAACTCCATGAGGCAATAACCTTAACACGCAACACTAACCAGGCTCCTAATAAGTGCATTTGACCTTTTTCCGTTACTATAAAAGACAATTTGACATGCGAAGGCTAATTATTCAAATCTAAGCCATTATTCTACTGTTATTTTATAGCCTTATCTTGTTAATAGCTCTACAACTAGAACGAGTTTCCTGATTGGTTGACAAGTCGCCCAAGGTCCCCAAAATAGTATACTTTTACCTTATCTACTTCTCTTGAAACGAAATCTGGCAACAGGATCGGTGAGACTATAATTTATGGACGATCATTTAGCGGAGCTAAAGTGACCTTAAGAATGTCCACCAACTTACAAAAGCTAAATGAGAGTTATATACCTGTGTGAAGAATAAAGATTATGATTTACAATTGGTGGTTAGGGTTATAAATTAGATTTATTATTTTCATCAAGAAATGACATATGCTAAAATGCCATAACTATATTTAGCCAAATAAATGAATAGATTTCGCGCCAAAATTCAAGACCTGGTAATCTTAAATCTGATTTATTCGTCCATAAATTATAGTCTTGCCCAACAGAAACTAAATTAATAAGCAGCTAAGATATATTTCAGTGAAATAGTAATTAGTAAAGAACAAGACTGGTACCTACTCAAATACTTAATTAACAACAACTTAATAAGACGAAGAAAACGACAAACACTGGATGTTACTATTGTATTTTAAAAAGGCTTTGCGTTCGTCGTTTATAGGTTGACTACTCACTTACGGCTTACGACTGACGTCTAGCTAACCATGGAAAGTCAAATCACCTACTTAACTTCCCTGTTGGGATTAGTATATAATCTAATAAGGTTAAAACTTGAACATTAAGCTGAAAATGTTAGTTGCTTATCAGCTATCTTATACAACACAAATGAGAGATTTACAGGAAAGCAATGAGGATATTAGACTGATAAAATCTGAACACTAAAAAATGGTCAGTTTACGTCATCAGTTAATCCTTCACTAAATTCCACAATATTTATGGCTGAAAAATCATAACATTTATGTTTTACGTATATATTTGTTACAAATCATATGTATTTTCGGGAGTACTAAGTAGAAAAATGAAAACACTCACTAAAAAAATATAACTCATTGCAACAAACAAGTATAACTCTACTCAGGTATATATATCTAAAACTATAAACGATATTAGATAACGTCAAATGACATATTTGTATATATGACACAACAAAGGAATTAGTGAATTTCTCCATACATAAAGTAACATCTGAGACTTACTCTAGCGTCTAATGAACGGATTTATTAAAAAATAACTCAGATTACGTCAATATCATGACTATGACAGGATGTCCAATGATTCCCTTTTTAGATGATCTAAGTCTGATATATCATAGTGTTAAAGATACAAAGATTTTTTGAAAAACAAGAATGTACTTAGAGTTGTAGACAAAGAATGCGTATGTGTTGGAAGAGTGGAAATATTTTAACACCAACGTGGATGAACAACTATTCTTGTCCCATATCTAGTGCGAATAAAAATAGTAATTTAAAATGTGCAAAACACATCTTAGTATTTCAATTACTACATGCTTAGGACAAAATATGCTTCATTTACTTAAACTAGGATTTTACATTCGGTATTGGTACTACTTACGCAGTGTAGTCATAATATAAACCATTTAATCTGAAATAATAGTCTTTCTTCAATTGCATGTTAAACAATAACACAACACGAAGACATGTACTACCGAGGTGAATTACATAATAGTCCCGATGTCTGGCCGGATTATAAATAGCTCCAGACCTCTCTAACTCACTCAACACGTAATATCCTCATTGAAAACACTAAGTAAACCGAATGAACATGATCACCTGTATCTGAACTAAGAGATTGAAGATATAATGAGTGTATTATGTAATTGACACGTGTGTTAATCAAGTACATATTTGGATAATAATTAGTTATTACTAGGTTACGAAACTTATCAGGATCAATGGGAGTAAACAGAGACAAATAAGATTAACATTTATGTTTTTGATAACCATAAATGCAAAAAATAGAGACAAATGGAACAATGGAAACTTGAAACACCGAAAGTATACTACTAATCATAATTCCCTTTCTTTAATGAAGCAAACCCATTATAAATCATCTCTCTATATGAATTACTTTACCTGCAGATCTTCCAAACTCTAGAATAATCTAATACAATCTAGCCGTAAGCTAAAATCACTCCTACCCTTTGTTCGCTGCAATGATGCATACTGCTCCTTTGAAAATGCATTAAATGTTCTAGTACTTCTAAGCGTAACATACTTCACAAGTGAGAGTATAGGAATTTTAAATGTTTAGCCATTCGTATTACTGAATTCCCTAAGTAAAATCACCTACCTGCTGTTACTTTACGTTAACACCGTTCCTGGCAACCCTAACTAATTTGAATAATATCTAACATGAACAGTATATCACCGAGTCACATGACACATACGTTATGGTAAACATGATTGAAACATTTTAGTAATTATTGCCTTGTTGTTCCATGCTCACTGCTTCCATTTTACTTTCCCTAGTTGTAGATTATTATGGCGCAAGAAATGAGCTTAAATGCACCGTTCATAAATCAATAGGATGTCCACTTAAGAAGAGTTAAAAGTTCCCGGCCGATGCATTTCATTGCTGTGAAACATGTCATAAATGTACTAAATAAACAATTCTTGAACTAGTAAACTTAAAACAATCTTATATCACGTTTGTTTTCTACATTTAATGTTATTATTTATGTCAAAATGATCATGTCTGTAAACTGGCATGAATTATGTAATATACTTTGATAGCTTACTGTTAAATTGTATTCGATCTATACAGACTAAATTGATGGATGAATTCACCCAAAAAATCTGTTTCAGAATTAAGACATCCTCATAAAATACAACCAAGTACATAAGGTCCTAATAAAGAAATATGTTTCAAATAAAGAACAGAGACTAGTCAAATACATATTTATGTATCTACACGAGGGTACACCATTTAATGTAGTTAAATAACTTGATTTTCAATTATTACACTTGAAATTAGAACCCCACTTTCGTACGATGGCTTAAGTACTTATGTTATCAATAGTTCTGACATCAAAAGTGTTACTCAAAACTCTAATTAATACACTTCTAACATATTTAATAGGTTACATTACAGAAATGAATAGCTAGTGAAATTACACTACGTCTTAGAAATCTTTTCGAGAAAATTGGAAAACCTAAATAAAAACGATGATTATAATAAAACTAATTTATAGTCCAAATGCTTTATTGATAATTGTTACTACACATGAGATATTTAGATAGTATACAGTTCTAAACATTTTATTACTCTAAATTTTCCAGTTACATCAGTTGTATCTTCTATCACTTAAATCTAGGTTATTAAGAATTCCCATGACATTGAACAATAAAATATGAATAATAACAAATTAAGAAAAAAGAAGAAAGATGAATCTTTCCAATCCACACCTCTTATATTCTACTTTACACTGTATAAATTCACTTTAACCAACTTTGAATTAGACTTAACAACTCATTGTCAAAATCAGAAATCTAGTCTGATGACAATGTGAGGAAACAAAAATAAATATTTATGAATCCGATATAAAATTGAAAGCGTTTTAATTTCAGTTTATATACATCATATCGTATTTTCATTCACTTTGAACTTATAAATAGAAAAAATTAACTGTAGACTGTGAGAACGAAACGAAAATAAAGAAAAACACCAACGAACCGGAAGAATAAACAATATGACAAAGCCGTTACATACTAATAAACAAATTTATTAGTTTGCTCTTTAATAAAATTTAAAGCATAACACAACTGAACATTTAGAAAAGACCAACGAAG